CCCAGGGGAGGGAGCCGTCATGCAGGAAAGTGCCGGGAGTGGACATTTGTGCTGAGACCAGGGCAGAGCCAGCTGTCAGGGGGACCCTGGGGCGAGGGGCCAGGAGATCCTAGGGACATGAACCCCGGGGACAATGCCCAAATTGTGCCTGATTCTCATTTTTACCTTCCTTCTTTTGGGCTGCTTTTAGTAGTTTGGCCAAAGGGTCCTTCTTTCATTGCCTGAGAGACATCATGGGATAGTGAGAAGAGAAATTACAGGACAGAAATTACAGCCTCAGGGTGGGAGGAGTGGCACTGTGTGGGCTCCAGAGTAATCAGACCAGAGCTTGAGTCCCAGCTCTGTCACTCATTGTGTGAACTGAACACATTACCAAACCCGATGAGTCTTAGATTCTTCATCAAAGAAATGAGTTTTATAAGCGGTATCTTCTAGAACTGTTAGAATGTGTACAGTGTATGTGAAGCACATGGCACAGTGACTGGTGTACATTGAAACTTTAAAGAATGGCAATTATTGCTATGGCTTTTTTGATCCCAGATAATACCAAAGTTCCTGCTGAGATTTTTGTTTTTTTGTTTTGTTGCTTTAAACTAGGAGATGTCTGAGAATATGCAGTTCTGTAGGATACTGTGCACCAAGTCAGCCAAGAATTCTTAGAAAGAAAAATTACCCTAGTAAATCATCCCACTTAGAGGATATGCTATTGAATTTGGATGTTGGGGAATCTTCCCCATCTGGATGCAACTCAAATCTCCTAAAATGTATGTTAAGAACCAACTCCTCCCCTCCCTCCCAGCTCCTCTTTGATCCAAATAACCCCTATTTTTATTCATTTAACCCCTACCAAAGTCAAACCCTCCCTTATAAGTGATTTGCTAAATTTTACTCAAGATAACCTAGTTAAATGCCCTTTGAATGGAACAGGCTCTGTTTCTCCCAGCCCATGGCAAAGAGGGACAGCATAGTGGCTTCTGGGCATCTAGTCTCAAGGAAGTATTACTCTTATCAGAAACTCTCTGGTGATGATACAGATAAAATACCTAGTTTGTGTGCTATGTTCACCTGCATTGGATCCAGAGCACAGGGCACCTTCCATCACTACCTGGGTAAATATTTGTGTCTGGTTTATCCAGGATCCCAAAATAACTGCTAAAAGCAGTTACCCATTGGAGGCCTAGTTTCTCAACTCTGACACACACCACCCAAGGGTCTGGTCGCTGCTTACCACCCTCACATGCTTCTCCGACCCGCCACCTTCACACCCTCCCCCATGGCCCACCACCCTCACATCTCCCACCCCACCACTTCAAACCCTCTGCCATCTCGTACCCTCCCCCCAACCGACCACCTTGCAACCTCTACCACCTCACACCCTACCCCACCACCACCCTCATACCCTCCCCCAACCTGCCACCCTCGCACCCTCCCCTAACCCTGACCATCCTTGCACCCTCCTTTGACCTACCACCCATCTTATCTTACAATTACCTCCCATTGAAGGGTTTCAAGTTTCCCAAGGCCTCAAATTGTCTTGCTTCAGGATGTTTACATTTGACTGCTCTCATCTGGACCTCCCCTTCCTGTCCCACCTCATCCTTCTTTTTTGTCTATCTCACCATCTTCCTTTTATGGGCAATGACTCCATCTTCTTTTTCTTACCACCCCCCACACTACTATGGAGCCTTCCAAAGAGCAGATGCTCATTTAATGTTAGAAGAATAAAAAAAAAAGACAGTGAGCAATTTATTATGATTTATTTTCTCGTACATTCTTGAATGAAGAAATTTCAGGCATGTAACTTTTATTTTACAGAAGAGCAGAGTACATGGAATAAAGAAAACCAAAAATTTACCATCTTACTTTTTTCTCAATTTTTTGACTCCAGCTATTTTGTTGCTAATTTTTTTCACATTTCCAAAAAAATGGCAATTGCAGTGCTATGTTTTCTTGTTCCAGATCACTAAATAAGATGGAAGGTTACCAATTTGTTTTAGAAAATAGCGAAACTCATACTCTTAAACCTCATAAACAGCATCAAATGTGTAATATATTGTGAAGCTAATTAAACTTTTCAAAAACAGAAACATTTGATAACTTTCAACAAGAGATAAATTTGTAAGTTATTTATGTAGAATGTACGATATGCACTATGTCCCCTCTAGCTAGCACCACCTAAGCCCTCACACTACTTCAAACACAAAGTGAGGAAAGTGCTTCAGGTTTCAATACAGGTGGGAGAAGCTGCCAGAATTGGCCATGGAAGGCCCAGTATGAACCAGAGCTGTAAATCTGGCTCGGGCTCGCTCTTCCTCATCTTGCAAAGCCTCTTCATACCAGGATGGGAAGGCACTGGGGACGCTATCATGGACCTTGGCCAAGAATTCAAGGACTTTCATCTTGCTGGTCTCGGCATAGGCTCTTGGACCCCACAGGAACTCACGGCATGGAGGATTGCTGTTGGACACCTGGCGGTACAGGAGGTACCTTTCCTGCACCCAAACTTCAGTGATGAGCTTCTTGGGATCCCCGTAGATGAAGTGTTTCTTATCAGCATATATCCCCATCACATTAAGCACTTCCCACATATCCTTTTCAGTGGCACAGTTGCCCTTAATGAAGATCACACAGAGGACGGTCATCAAGAGGCCGGTCTGGGGCATGATTTCCTCACCCCTCAGCCTGCCATCATTGGTGCGCTGCAGTTTGCTGATAAGGGCATAGTGGTGCCTGGTAGGGTCGACTTCCTTCAGATCAATGCCAAAGGCCAGCACCATTAGCTCAGAGGCTTTCCTGAGAATCTCACAGAAATGCTCCTTGTGCTTTTTGAGGACATGCTTAATCATGTCTTCCTTTGTTATGGGCTCCCTCGTGTTATACTTGCGCAGCAGGAATTGCACCAATAGAATCGCCTTGTCATCTAGAGGGGTTCTGTGGTAACGACCAGTGTTGGGTTGTGCCTGAGAGGTGCTTGGTTTTTCCTCATCTTGGCTCTTGGCACTTTTATCAGATTTTGTATGTGAAACACCTGCAGAAGTAGTAGTAGTGGATGGGGCTTTCCGAAACCCCTGGGTTTTTCTACCTGACCCAGCAGCTGAGGAGCTCTGAGCACTACCACCAGAAGGAGAAAAGGAGGAAGTGGAGGGCTGTTCTTCCTCTGCTGCAGTGGCCTGAGCATCCTGGGCACGCTGAGCCTCGATCCGGGCCTGATGGCGTTTCTCACGGGCACGAAGCTTACTCTTTTGCCCCCGAGGCATGGTGACACTGGTCAGGGACAGTAGGCATTAATGTGGGCAGGAGGGCAGGCAATGAGGGCACCTAGAGGAGGGAGAATGAGATAGTGTGTGCGCCTTCAGCAGGGACATTTCACCTTGGCTTTAACCAAAGCCACTTCTGCAGGCTTCCCTGACAACACTGCTCTAAGACCACACAGGGCTCCTTTTCTAATCAGTGTGTCCCCTGAGAACCCTGAAGAGGAAGTTAGAGTGTGCCTTAGACTGCAGCTGCCGGCCCTGCCGGGATCAACTTGGTGGCCGAGAGCAAGGGCTGGCAGGTTATAGTTTCTGTACGGTCCCCTCTGTTCTGAGGTGGAGAATTCTCAGTTCACATTTAGGATCATCCTGTCAACTGTTGGCAGTGCCCAGGGCCTCCTCCCCTCTACAGCTCTGAAGCTAAACTTTTTACACCGATGACCTTACCGCCGTGAGATTCTTGGGGAGCAAATGAGAAAGAGCCACTCATGCTGCAGCCTTCCAGAGCTGACAACAGGAGCAGAGTTTTGTGGGATCCCCACAGTCTTGGATGATTAGGGTTTTCAGTGCTCAGCTGTGTACCCACTCCCATCAGACCAAACCCCCCCATCTCCCGGAGGTGACAGCCCCACCTGGGGCCTCCCAGGGTAGATTGTAAGGGCAGGGCCCCCTGCGGGGTTGGGAATACCCTCAGTCCTCACTCAGACTCCTCTCCTTGACTCCGAATAGAGCCTGGGATTCTTCACTCTTTTGATCTCAGTCCACCAGCCTCAGATCAAAGTCTTCACTCTCTGAGACCCTGAAACGGAATTGAAGGGGCGTTAACAGCCAGGCCTCGGGGCTCTGCGCGTGGGAGGGGGGGGCGGGGTTCTGTGAGGTTTCCTTTGTTCTACGTATTCCCACAGTTCTAAGGAAGGATAGTCACCTTGACCCTAAGCATTGCCTATTTCCTCTGCAGACCTGAGGCTGCCCTCCTCAGACCTGCGACCCTGGAGGTAGAAGTCAGTCAGTACCTCAGGCTGACAAGCTCTGCTCTCTGCTTTCCAGGAGTGAAAGCAGGGGTAGGGCTGTGTGCAGGCTTCTCAGCTCTGGGGTGTGTTGTCCAGTCTCTCCTGAGGGTGGAGGCAGGGAGTAGGGTGTCCTCTTGAGAAATACCAACTTTCTGAAAGGTCTGAGCAGCTTCCCTACTGCAAACCTTGCAGAAAATTGCCAAGTCCCCAGCCAGATCTGAGCTGGGGAAACTGCAGTGTAAGACAGGGTAGTAGGACGGGTGGTGGGCTGTAAGAGGAGAAATACAGAGGCCCATGGTGGTTTTTTGCCACCCAGACTTAGACGTGGGAACCTTGTACTCTAAAAGATCTACTTTCAAAGGAAGAGACTGAGCTGCATGATTTTGTGAGACTCAGATCTGTTGACATTGTCTAACATTGCTCAGTCCAGTGCAGTAACTTTTATTTTATTTTTGAGCCTCATCTGTAGTAAGAAATACATTTACATCTTTAACAAGTCTGTGTGTATCTATGTGGTTTTTTTCATGAAAGATTACCTACCCTTCTTAAGTGGGATTCCTTCTTTCTATTCCTTTTTATTTGATTATAATATTACAAAACAAAAAAGTCTGGTACCTACCCTCTAAAGAGGTTTCAGGTGGTTATTGCACAGTCTCTGAACTCATACGGTTTCAAACAACCCCAAACGTTGATGCTGTCCTGATATTACTCCCATGGTCCTGGCCATTCAGCCTCTGAGGAACAGCCTGAGCTCCCTTCACTAAAGCAGTAGAAATTCATTGTCCCAAGGCACTGTGAAAGAATCAAAGGCTGCACTTAAAACCTGTCCTCTGACCAATCTTGTTTTGTAGGCTACAGGACAGTTCCAACTTCAGGGCCTGCCCCCACTTGCCCACATACAGCTTCTGGTTCAACACAGACTTAGTCTCTTTCAGGGATTTCTCATCTACGGTGTTTTGCTCTTGCTAATACTGTTCTTTCATTCTCCCTTTTATAGTTTCTCTAGGGTTGATTTTAGGAAACAGCAGCCTGAGTCTCGTATTATTTTGGAAGCTGTATGTGAGGCAGTGTATTAGCATGCTCCAGCTGCGGTAATGGAATACCACAGGCTGGGTGTCTTAATAACAAAATTTATTTTCTCAAAGTTCTAAAGGCTAGTAGCCCCAGATACAGGTGAGGGCAGGTTCAGTTTCTGGTAAGAGCTCACTTCCTGGCTTTGCATTTGGGCACCTCCTTGCTGTGTCCTCACATGGACTCTTCTCTAAATGCACAGAGAGTGATCACTTGTGTCTCTTCCTCTTCTAATATCAACCCTATTAGATTAGTGCCTCACCTTTTTAAAGCTTTTTTAACCTTATTAGCCTCCCTAAAGTATCTCCAAAGATAGTCACCTTGGGGATTAAGGCTTCAATATCTGAATCAGAGGTTGAGGAAATGGCACAACTCAGTATATAGCAGTCCATATTTAAATCTGTAATTAATTTTAGGAGAATGACATCTTTACAAAATTATTTTTCCCATGAATAAACATAGTATATTCCTCTATTTGTGACTTCTTTCTCTAAGTGTATCACTAAATATTTATAGTTGCCTCCAAAAAGATTGTGTACATTTTTATTAGGTGTATTTTTGGATAAATTTTGGATATTGCTGCTGTTGTTATTGGGATATTTTCTATTAATTATCCTAATTAGTTATTGATTTTATGTGGCTAGGCTGCCAATTTTGGTAATCTTATATGCAACAGCTTTGGAGTATCTTATTCATTTGAATATTTTGTACACTGGTTCCTTTGGATTTTCCAATTAAGGATCATATTGTCACCATTTATTATCTCAATCATATCAATATTCCTTTTTCTTGTTTATTTTGCTACTCTCATTCCTGTAGTTATATATTCCCATCCACCTTTAAATAGAAGGTATGGTACCATAACATCTGTGTCTTTGTCCTATCTTTGATGGGAATGCTTCCAGCGTTTCACATTTATGTAAGTTTGCTATACATTTTAGGAAGTGGAAATTCTCTTCAAATGTTATTTTGCTAAAACTTTCTTTACCATCAGTTGGTGCTAAATATTTTTTAAAAGGCTTTTTATCCACCTCTAGACATGACCAAATGTGTTTTGTTCTCTAATCCATTAATGTAGAGAAATTCCAGCTGGAAATTTTTTCTAATATTTTAATATCTTTATAGTTACTGAACTTAGCCTGTTTATTCACTGCTATATTGGATATGCTATAAATTTATTTAGGATAGATGCCTCTCTGTGACAGAGCTTGGCTCAAGAGATTTTTTCTTTGGGTATCCCTATGTGGTCTTTGTATCAAGATCAGCAAACCTGTTAAAATGAGTTTAGTAATTTACTGTATTTTTGTATGATTTGGAAGAGTTTATGTAAGATGGCATTAGTTTTTCCCTAACTATTTGGTGCAACTAGATTCCAAATCTGACTGGTCCTGGAATATTTTGAGGGGGCTGGAATGTAGACTACAGTTTCAGTTTGTGTTATTTGACTGAAGTTCTCTGTTTCTGCTTGGAAAAATTTAGTTAATTATGTTTCTCCAGGAACTAATCCATTTAACCTGGATTTTAAAGTTTAAAAACATGTTTTATTTATTGTGGTAAAAAAAAGAACATATAATATTTGATCTACTGTCTTAACAAAATTTTAAGTGTGTGTAATCCCACTCTTGGATATTTATGCAGAGGAATTAAATTCAAGATCTTGAAGAGGTATTTGCACCCCCATATTCATTGCAGTATTATTCATGATAGCCAAAAAGGGAAGCAACCTAAGGTTTATCAGCAGATGAATGGGTAAAGAAAATGTGGTATAAATACATATTTATAATAAACATTTTCACTAAAGAAATTATTAAGGGTATAAAACAGTACAGAGAAGAGTACAATGAACAGTTGTATATTCCATAAATTTTTTTGAAGAACTGGCTTTAGTTGGCTTTACTATTTTCTATTTACTTATTTCTGCATTTATGCATATTATTTTTTAACTTCTACTTCTTTAGCATTTTTTATTAAATAATATTGACATACATGATTGTATGTCTTTCAGGTGTACAACATAGTGACTTGATATTTATACACATTACAGAATGGTCATCACAATAAATCTAGTTATCATCTGTCAACATACACAGTTGTTACAATATTATTGATTATATTCCTTATGCCATACATTAAATCCCCATGGCTTATTTGTTTTGTCACTGGAAGACCGTACCTCTTAATCACCTTCACCTACTTTACCCATCCCATCCACCCCTCTCCCCTCTGACAACCATCAGTTTATCTGTATCTATGGATCTGTTTGGGTTTTGCTTGGGTTTTTTTTTTTTTTTTTTTTTTTTTTGCTTGTTTGTTTGTTTTGTTTTTTAAGCCCCACATATAATTGGAATCATATGATATTTGTCTTTATCTGACTTATTTCACTTAGAGTAATACCCTCTAGGTCCATCCATGTGTCACAAATGGCAAGATTCTATTCTTTTTTATGGATATGTATATATCACATCTTCCTTACCCATTCATTTATCAATGGACACTTAGGTTTCTTCTATATCTTGGCTATTGTAAATAATGCTGTGATGACATAGGAATGCATGTTTTTTTCAATTAGGGTAGTCATTTTCTTTGGATAAATACCTAGAAGTGGGATTGCTGGATCATATGGTAGTTTAATTTTTGGACAAACCTCCATACTGTTTTTCATAGTGGCTGCACCATTTTATTTTCCCATCAACAGTGCATGAGGGTTCTCTCTTCTCCACATTGTCACCAACAGTTGCTATTCCTAGTCTTTTTGATTCTAGCTATTCTCACAGGTGTAAATTGATATCTCGTTGTGGTTTTGATTTACGTTCCCCTAATGATTAATGCTGTTGAATGCCTTTTGGCAGTGTTTATGTCTTCTTTGGAAAAATGTCTATTCAGGTATTCTGCCCTTTTTTAATAGGATTGGTTTTTTTTGTTGTT